GCGACGCACCGTAATCCCAACTTCAGAAAGAAATGCACTTCAAGGCCACTATTAACTTTGGAAGGGAAATTGTGGACAACGTGGGGAAACGAGTGCAGAATTTAGGCAAAAGGGAATGCAACGTGTTCATGAGGACGTTTCATTTCTCCATTCTTCGCACGGTTGTATATACAACGCCATCAGAATGCAAAGTGACGCCATGATGACTGAAGAGGAGGGTGAGGATGAGGAAGGGGTTCATCAGTCATGCATTGCAGTAAAGAGGAAAGGAAAGGAAAGGAGGGTCATACTGTGGAGTGCGTGGATGGTGGCAGAACCTGTGCACTGGAAGTGAGGAGAGAGACTGGTTGAGTCGGAGTGGACAGTGAGAAGTGCCAGTGAAGACAGGAAGCACTGATACAACTCACCAGAGGCAGTCAGCGTGGCTACATTGGAAGGGATGGAGAAAGTGAAGTCCGTTTTGCAGCAAAGCAAGTTTGTCAAAGTGAAAGTAGCCAAAGTGGTATTTCTAATGTGACGTTCACTACTGACTAGTCAAACTGGAGGCAGCGGAGTGGAGGAGGGGAGAGGAAGACCTACTGGCAACCTCACTGTCCGATGAAAGTGATGAGTCTAGGTGCGAAAAGAGTGCCAAACAGGGCAGAGAAGAAGAAGAAGCAGTGCAGTGGAGGTGCCTCAGGCTGTGTTGGATGAAAGTACGAAGAGGAAGTTGTTGAAGAGGTATGCCATGGCAGATGCACATTATTAATCAGCATAAGCACAAATGCGTTGAAGTAGTCAAAGTGATTGAGAAAGACGGTGTTGGTGGGAGGTGGTGGGGGAAACTACTTTGCCACTCAAAGCAGCACAATTTAACGGACTAGTAGTTGAGTAAGTGTGCATCCTGCGGTACCATGCAAGTGGACAGCATTTTGGTTGTGCTCTTCATTTACCGATGGAACGGAAAGATGGTACACGTAGTGGAGCAAATGCTCCGAGAACTGCAAATGGCAGTTGCTGCACTCATCACCAACCACCACAAAAGCAGAGGAGCACAGAGCAGACAGACAGCCAAACGCGGTCAAGGCACAAGTGAAGGACGGGCTTTTGATAGCTGGTGTTGGAGGCGTTGTTGCACATTCGACGATGCTGAACTGGTCCAACTAACTTGCTTTGAAGCGTCGTCAGTCGTCGACTGTCTGCGTGGTTCTGCTGCTGCGCTGGCCAACCTCTCACACTGTGACCTCATGCCTTCAGAGAGGACGATTTAGTAGCACAACTGAACCGCTGCTTAGGAATGGACAGGAGGAATTGATCGCGTCGCCCTGTGTCCAGTAAGACAAGAAGAATGCGGAATTGGGAAGGTCGTTGTGTCGTTAATGGTGTTGAATGTGCGGAAGTGGGCAACAGTTGAGTGCTGGTGGCATGGGATGTGCAGGGGATGAGGTGCGGTGAGGGAGTGCCGAAGGCGTGATGGGTTAGCAGAGAAGAGGGTGTTAGAAGTGTACGCGGAGGTGTGTTTGAAAGCATCACCGAGGTGGGAGGAAATGAGACAGTTAGAAGTGGCGAAATCGGCTGGGAGATTGGTAAGTGTAGTAGCATAGAGGTGGGCAGAATGTGTGGCGATGGAGGGCAGGGCAGAGCAGAGGAGGATGGGCAGAATAAGAAGCCCTCCCACCCTTCCCATTGGCGACTAAAATGGGGAGTAGGAAGAGTACTTGGCGGATGGTTACAGCCCCACGTCGCATTGCGTTGAAGGCACCAACACGCACTGGCAGCACACCACCCATCACTCACTAACAAAGCCACTTTAAATGCTATTCAAGCAAGTGGGAGTAAGAGGAAGAAAACGGGCCGACAACTGAGGAAGATGTGTCAGCCGCTGCCTTGAAAGAGGCGTTGCCAGCATTCCAACTCTTCTCAGCCCAGCATCAACTCCGAGTAGAACGAGGTGGCTCACAATCTGAGCTTTAACACACCACGTCTGACAATGGGACGCGACTTCCATCACCTCGACGCACTGTCAACACCACATGCGCCGGGCTGCAGCACTCCATGCTTAGTATGCGGAGGGGCGAAAACTTACCTCAGCAGCAGACGACGGCGAGAAGAAAGACGGCGAACCTCAGCATGGCGTAAGTGCGCTGTCTAGACGAGGGTCTGGTGTGGTTATATATGCCATTTGGCTCGCTCTCGTGCCAGTGGGTAATAAAATTGCGCGGACTTGCGATCACAATTGTGTGTGGGTGAGTGTTGGCTCAGAGACCGCAGCCTGTAATGACAACGTCAGCTGATGGCAGTGATGATGGAACGTCCCATGAACTTCTGCCCTCCTCATTGTCTGCAACAGTACTGCATTGAGTGCCAAAGGCAATGCTGTGCTGTGAGGCTTTTGTGCGGGCATCTCAACCAAGTAGTTGACAGTCTGTCTGGCTTTGGTTTTGGCGTCTCTGCCAACTCACTTTCACCTGTGTGAGCTCATGCGACTGGAACGATTGGCACAGCAAAATGTATTTGTACTTCAAAGCGTGGAGAGTTAAGTAAAAGCGGAGAACTACGTGGAGGCAGAAAACAAAACGTACAACTTGTTGTAAGGCAGGCATTGAAGGCGTTGCAACACGGAGTGCGCAAAAGGCACATTGGATCAGCATCGCACCAAGTCGCCACACACTTTCGTGTTCATTGTGGCTTGCAGTTGCATGTGGCTTGGACGGATTTGGGTAGGTCTGTGCAAATGGTTTGTGTCTGCGTCCACTTTTCCATCTACTTCAATTGATAATGCGGCTTGCAGAATGTGGAGATGGGAGCAGTCAAATCACGGACTGGAAGTTTTGAGCAACGCAAAGTCCAGTCCCATCCGAAGGCAATGTGAACACCCTCCACTCCACTTCAGCATCTCATCACTGTACCACCAAAGCACCGCATTCTGCAACCTTCATTAGTTTCTGTCCATCAAGTCAAAATCGTGCGTGGAGTGTTTGACATTGTCGTTGCGGGCACACATGTGGCTGCGCACTGCCGCTTCCTCGTGCACTTTGTTCCGCCAACAGCGAAAGGACATTTCAATTGCATTCCATAAAGCCTGATGCCAACAAATTGGCTTCGACAGCTCTCATACGCGCGCTGGTGCTTTGGGGCGGTCACTCACTCACCGATTCGGTGGAAGTAGCCACACACCTTCGTGCCAGAATTCAACGCCATCTCAGTCAGCGTGATGGAGTAACCTTCCACACACGTCTTCATCCGTGTCGCAGCTACTTTGGGCGTGTAATCAGGAGGCTTTTGAGTTGTTCGACACTTCGAAGCGAGGAGTGGCACACACAATACATGCACAATTGCGTTAATCGCCCTCACTGCAACCACGCTTCCCATCCAAACTAGGGCGCCACTTGACACAATCGCTTTCTTCCCCAACTCACTGTTCACACCGAAACGCCTGTCGGCATCACCGATCACGGCCGAAATTGGTGCATGCATGAGGGATCCACTTCAAATGCACCCTCCTTGAAATTGTCCCATTGGCAGTTTCATGACTTCGCACTATGAACTGAATAGCAACGCATAAGAGAGGAAAGACTCCGCAGGATTCCGTCGTTGGCACTCGGAGGAAAGGAGGAGGAGGAGCTGAGACGACTATTCTGCTGCAGCAACAACGTTAGGAGTGAGGGCAGTACTGTTATGATGGCGTAGGCGTAGAAGCGCGACTGTTGAACACTAAAACTGAAAATCAGCTTACATGCACGCCTATGATGAATGCCTTCACATTGGCGTTGGGCAGTCACAAAACCCACCAGACTGGAAAGGTGTGCAAAGCATCAATTGCGAGAGCCTGCCATCATCGCTGCAGAGAGCAGAACCGACAGAACGCAGCACAAGGGACAGCACACTCTGCAGG